ATAGCATCAAAATAAACCGGCTATGACCAAGCTCATAGATCATACCCAGGCCCCAGACCACTTTCGTACGATGAGCTAACCCTTCGAGCGCTTCAAAGCAGGTGGTAGTTGAGCGTCGACTGAACCACATGCTTTCAGCATACTGCGATACAGCTCGATATGGCACAAACGACCGAGAACCGGGGGCTCATGATCATCAGCGCCACGGAGAAGCCGCCGCAGGTGGCGGTCAGGCAGCGAGCGGAGAAGCTGATCTGACACCGGCAACAGCCTATGGGCTTCCATTTCCCAAAATGACAGCGCCTGTACCCGATCGGCTACAACTTTCTGAGGATCCGCTGTTACAGCCTGGATGGCATCTTGGAGAGCAGGAGGCAGATCTGTCAACAAAGTGAAGGGGTGTGGAATGCCCAGAACCCACTGCACTGCTTGTCCAGGCTCAACTTCAGCTTGCACGAGCGGCTTCAGGGCGCCCCGCTTCATCTGATAGCCGGCGGACTGCGCCAGGCGTGCCGAAGCGGCTTGTCGATGAGGCGGCTTCTGGTTGCCCGGACCGAGCGCCCGTTTTCTCTCGGCAGCGGAAAGCACGAGGTCGAAGGAGGGCTGAAAATGCGACAAATCCTGGAGCATGCATAATCTCACAGCCAACGCCATCGAGCTACACACCTGAGCCGGGTAAACTTGAGCTTGCTTCGTTTTGAAGACCCATCTATTGAGCTTAGTGTTCCACGATTTCCCTTTCAGGACCACATGCAGGTGATCTCGGGGACACTTCTTGTACAGAGGCAAGAAGGCCTCAGATGTCACCAAGAGCCGAGTAGGCTTCATGGAGGGAGCACCGAAAGCACACTGATCAAAGTCCACCTCGATAGTGCGGCAGGCTTGCGACAGCACCTGAACCGGTGGTGTCACCCAGAGCAGGCTCAACAAAGGATTCTCGATCGAGAAGTCACCCCCTTGAGTGTGAACGATGGTGCAGACTTCCACGGAGCGGTAGAGGAAGAAATTGCCCAAGAGCACCAAGGTAGCATTGTCCGCCGACAAAGCGGGCAGACCCATCGGTTCCTGAAGCGAGCGCAAGGGCGGTGGCCCCCCGTCCAGCTTGCGAGCCGCAGAGAAAGTGTTGCAAGGTGTGCCACAATGCACGAACATGATGCCACCCAATTGAGCAACCTGCGTGAGCCAATCCCAGAACGCAACATCGAGAACATCCCGTGGTGAAGGCACTTGCACTGAAGCTTCAATGTCCACCGGGGGCAGACAAGGGATGCCCAGGGCGCGCACTGCTGCTGTCAGGCCCCCCGTGCCAGCGAAGATCTCGAGAAAGAAAGGACCATGGCGAACTGCTTCGCGAGGGTCTGACGGCACGTCATCCCATGAGAGCCACATGGGTGGATGACGAAACACCTCAGTTGTCTCCTCTTGGAAAGTCCCCGGAGGTGGAGACAGCTCCTCCGGGGAGGGCGAACGCCTTCAGTGATTGCCGTGCCAGGAGTGCTCCTTGCCGCACTCCACACACAGATGCTTGTTCTTGCATTGATCACCAAAACGACACCCCAAGGAGCAATTGAAGAACGGGCACCGTCGAGGACCTGAATATTTGAAAGATGTAATTTTTGACCACTCTTTCGCTGGGACTCGCTCATCCCGAGCGGCAGGTTTCAAGGGTGCTGCTGTCGAGCTACCGGCTTTGGCCTGTCGGAGCAAAAGCTTGGCCCTCTCCCGTCGAGCGCGGTTCTTGCGAGCTTTGGGAGTCTTGGCTGGAGTGGCCGGCGACACCGACCGTTGTCGCTTAGCCGGAGGCGTCTTGGGAGCCTCGGACTGGTGAGCCTGTTTGAACCGATCGAGCTCCGCGCTAGAGCGAGCGTCATTCCACAGCTGTTTGTGATGGGCGAGCACTTCGAGCAAAGCTGCGGAATATGTAGTGAACTTCTTTCGCTGATCTGAGCTCAATCGATGAACTTTCTTCCGGATCAAGGAGTCCACTGTGAGCAGAAGAGCCAATCCACGATTCTCGTGGCGCCACTCCTCGAGATCTGACAAGTATTGTAGTGGACCGGCGCCGACAGAGAAATCACAGATGTTGAGGTACTCCAAGGTGACGAAGAAAGCGTGAAGCTTATCCATGACTTGTTGCTCGGAGGCGGCCGGAGAGGGTTGATCAACAGCGACCACCCGCAACAGGTCCTCTGCGTTCTTGGTGAGCCCGGATTTCTGGGCAATAGTCTCATTTCTAGTGCGGATCTCGCCCACCTCATAGAACTTCACTGACCCATGAACGAGGAAATCCCGCTGAACACGTTCCACGAATTTCCGGTGTGGCTCTCGGTGATGCGGCAGCAAGACATCCGGATGTCGGCCAACAAAGATCTCACGGAATTCTGCGTGATCTTCACCGGGGATCTCGGGAATCTTGGATGGATCCTCCTCCATACGAGCCCTGCGAGCAGCAAAGTGGTCCTGCATGGTGGAGCAAGTCTTCCAAACTGCCGCAAGTGATGTCAGGGCTAATTCCTGAGATGGACCGTCCGGGCCGAGATCCGTTGCATCCGGGATCATGGCCTGCAGTGTGGTCTTAACTGCGGCAATGTTGTCACCGAGCATGGCAAAGGTCTCCACTGTCAGGAGTCGCCGATCGGCCACAAGCTTGCACAAGTCCGGAGGGAGCCTTTGTCGTCCGAACACTTGCCGCAATGGCAAATCTGGCGTCCGGGCCGCATCATATGTCGTCCGATCGACCATGAGTCTGTGCACTCACGAACGCGACCGCTGCTGAAAATTGAGGGTGAAAAACCTACGACGACAAATTGCGCACGTCACGACACTCATGAATGCATGCAAAAAAGAAAACTCTCAGCACGATCGGCGAAATGCGGCCTACCAAACCCCCCGTCCCAGAACAAGCGGCCGACACGTCACTGCCGTCTCTTTCGCCCTGTTCTGTGATCACGGTTGGTCTGGTTTTTGGAGCGCCAAGACCAGATCGGGTCGGGCCTTCGCGCAAGCTTTACAGAGGACCGAGAGGTCGGGTAACTCAGACCCAACCGCTGAACACTCTGCCATTGCAAGCTTCCCGCAAGCGATCGCAGAGGGGTCCTCCAAAGCAGATGAATGAAATTTATACTCGTATGAGCTCGCGGCCGAGGAGGTCTTAATGAAAAACTGAGCTTCGGCTTCAGCGATGACCCCGGCATCTTCTAGCTCAACATCCGGAGTCTCGTGCACGGGATGTTCGTCCGCGACGAGATCTCGAACGAGTTGGTGAATCATGCGAGCGGGCACACTAGACCGATTACGGGTGTATTTCAAAACCATAGGACCGGGATCCTTCCAGTTTGCTTGCAACCCGATTTCCTCGGTGGACCTACCCGCATGAACCGCAGCGTCCAGTAGGGTGACCCGCGCTGAGTGAGCAGTCAGTGTGTTCAGCGTGCGAGCGCACACCCGCCACTCATCCGCGTGGCGATCGCCCCCGAACTGTTCCAGGGCCTCTCTCGCCAACACCTTCAACCACTGGACAGCCCTCTGGTGGGTTGGGGGGGTTACCATAAACTCCGACCGGGTATTCAATTCGGGAATCCAAAAATCACGCTCGCGACCGTCACGACCGAACAGGACCCAACCCACCTGAAGCCACTGCGAATTCCGAAAACCTACGTGGGGGATAGCGAATCGCGTTCCGCGTTTCTTGCGATCGACTTTGGTCTGCCATGCCATGCCGAACAGTCCCGCATTTTGCATACGGAGATCGGTTGGCCTGACATGCTTCCCATCGTCAAATCTGAGCGACGCGAACACGAGACACAACCACCACCACATAAAAATTCGACTCGCATCCGGAGCAGCTTCATCGACCACGAACTCTTCCACGCACCCGATCACCTTAATAGGAATAGGCACGGCCTCCTTCAGGGCCTCAGCTCTCTGAGTGATCACCTCCTGTTGGAGCGCCAGGATTGCTGGCTCATCCAAGCTTGGGCACTCAATGACCAAGCGAGCACAAACCCAGCGCACTGCCGCTCGGAGTGTGGGGATGACCGTGGGTCTACATTCCTGATCGTTCAAGTGGAGCATGTACTTCATGATCTTGGAGGTGGTGAGTGGAAAAACCTCTAAACCTCTAGCAGCGAACCATGTCTCTAAACGCTCGAACGTCCGAACATAAGCAGCCATCGTTCGTGGGGCCCCTGCCGTGAGAACTAAATGACGGAGCTTCTCACTCTCTGCTGGTGAAAGTCCTTCCCCTGTAGAGGGATCGTCCCACAACTTGGCATGCGACCCTGCTCGACGGCCAATCTCTTCGAGACGTGCTGCCCACTTATGCCGTTCGGCATTTTCCTGATCAAGCAAAGGTGAACTTGAGGATGGAGGCTCAGGAGCCCCTGCCGCCCTCCTCGGGGCTTTGAGCTGTTTGCTGAACATGTCTTGGATCGCAGCAGCCCTTTTCAAACGAGCGGTCTCAGGTGACGATGCCAATGCGCGAACTGGCTCACACAACCCGAAGCCTAGCTGGTTCGCAGTAGATTCAAAGAAACTTCGTTCGACCGACGAGGCTAGCGACCAAAACTGTTCCAGTTGTAAGGGAGCTCCTAAGAGAACGGCTGCAACAGCTGGATCCATGGTGGTCGACCAATCCGCGACTTTGGCCACGAACGCTGCCGGCGAGCCCACCTCCATCGATGCGATCAGAGCTAGATTCGCGAAAGGACTAGCCATGAGCGCCTGGGCGAAGTCATCGCTGAAAACTGGAAACGAGAGGATCTTTCTAGCCCACCGATTCGTGTTTTCTTGAGCCATGATCACCTTAAATGAGCACTCTAAGGTCATGTCCCAGTCGATCGACTCATGTCCTAACTCGA